GGCCCCCGCCCCCCCGCGGCCCCGCCTTCCCCCCCCCGACTCTCCCCCCTCATGCAGCCCCCGCCTGGCCGCGCCGCATGGCCTGGGGATAATATTTGAGGAAAATCCGCCTGACGATCTCCAGCGTGTCGCCGGCCGGCTGGGTGGGATAGCGCTTGCCGTTGTAGATGAAGCCCCGTTCCACCTGGAAGACGGCCTGGTTGAACTTCTCCTGGTGGAAGGGGATGCCGGAGGTCAGGCTCTCCACTAGCGCCGAGACAAAGAGGCTCCAGCGCACCCTATAATAGTCCAGCACCAGCCCCCCCAGCTGCTTGTTGGCGTAGTCCAAGATGTTGCCGTTGGGCCCCCACAGCGTCACCTGGTTGCGGGCGTCGCGGTCGTACAGCTCGGCCTCCTTGGCGCTGGCGGCCGTGGCGCGCGCCTGCTCCAGCCAGCGGCCCAGCAGGAAGTGGCCGTCGCTGGCCAGCAGGCTGTCCAGCTCCGGCAGCAGGTCGTAGATCAGCACCCCGCCGGCGGTCAGCAGCTCCGGCAGCGCGCCCTTCTGGAAGGCCCGCTGGATCTCCAGGTAGTAGTCGCTCACCAGCTGCTGCGCGGCCTGCCGGGTGACGTCCACCAGGTCGTAGCGGTAGGTGGGGCTGGCGCCCAGCTCGCCAGCCGCGCCCAGCAGCAGGCGCCAGGCCTCGTAGACGTCGCTCTGGTTGTACCACAGCTGCGGGGCCATGTGCAGGGACGGCCGGCGCACCAGCGGGCTGTGGTTGTGGTCGACGCACAGTCCCGAGCAGTTGTAGGCGCTGCGGAGCAGCAGCTGCCAGGCCTGGGCGGCCCCTGCGTTCCTGGCGCCGTAGCGCCGCGTGGCGTAGTCGGCCACCCACTGCCGGAGGTCCACCGGCGCCTGGCGCCAGCCCAGCTCGCTCATCAGCTCGTAGACCATGTCGTTCTGCTCAATGCCCTCCGGGGTCAGGCCGGTGCCCACCATGGTGGAGTTGGGGAAGCGCCGGGCGTCGAAGGGGCCCTGGTTGACGCTCTCCACCGTGCCGAAGAGGCCGTGGTTGCCGCCAAAGTTGTGCAGCATGCACCAGATGAAGGGCTGCCCGAAGAAGGACTCCGTCCGCTGGTACACGGGCTGGGTCTCCGCAAAGAGATCCAGCACCAGCATCCGGCCGAGGGGCACGCCCCGCAGCAGGGCCCGCACCTCCGGGCGTCGAAGGGGCCCTGGTTGACGCTCTCCACCGTGCCGAAGAGGCCGTGGTTGCCGCCAAAGTTGTGCAGCATGCACCAGATGAAGGGCTGCCCGAAGAAGGACTCCGTCCGCTGGTACACGGGCTGGGTCTCCGCAAAGAGATCCAGCACCAGCATCCGGCCGAGGGGCACGCCCCGCAGCAGGGCCCGCACCTGGGCCGGCTGCCAGAAGTCAGGCTGGCTCCCCGCGAGGCCG